TTTGCATCTAGTTAGCTAGCAGTTCCTTCAATCTACACAAAGACCAACCTCATTGTTACCTCATGTTCTTAAAAATGTTGATGCGCCCAAAGGTTTATCTCCAGCTTTTTTCATTCTTTTTCCAATTCATCTATCTAAGCTATCCAAAGGAAAAAAAAAAAACTCCATCCTGGCGAATAAGCACTTTTCAAAATATGAGGTCCAGTATTTGCCCAGGGGTCCAGTTTGTCATTCTCACCCATTGCGTCTCCCTGAATCTGTTTCGTTTTTAATTTGCGTCAAGGGTAAGCCTCGGGTTGTCCTTGGTCGCATGTCACCCAAACCGCCTGCCCTGATCTCGCTGTGTTTAGTACCAGCAGCGCTGAGAACTTTCCACGCTTTGTTTGCGATCGCAATGCGTCAAGGAAAATTTTATAGTTCCCACGTCTCGCTTCCGGGGCATATGCAACGTGTTTTACAAAACGAAAAAAAAAAAAAGAGTACATTACAAATACTAAGAAATCTTTTTTTTTTGTCTTTATAAAATATTAGATTGTTCGACATGAAATTGCTGGGTTTGTCTTAAGCATTGCATTTTTTTTTTAACGCCCTCTCGAAAAAAAAATGATTTGAAGTGGATATATTATTTTGAAATAATATTTTTCATTGCACAGTAATTTTATTCCCTCCAGTCCCTTTAATATTTAGAATGTTTTTCAACAGATATATAAAATACTTGAAGATCATATTGAACAAATTCTATAGATATAGTACCTTACGAAAATCTGACGTCAGTTTTTAATATCTTTTTTTTTTTTTCCAGTTCAGCATTTATTGTAATAGTAATGGTAATTATTATATTGGAAGAGGAATGATATAAAATCGTGAAAAATATTCCAAAATAAAATCCCAGAAAGAATAAAATAAATGAATGTGAACGATAAAGAAATAACGTAATGTTCGGCTTTTTTTTGATAACATCTTAAATTGGTAACTATTCATAATTGTCTGCTATCAAAAATAACAGTAATAGGTATCTGTACCAATTCTTTTTCAGGAAACATTCAGCATTTATTTAACTAGTAGCCAGGACTGCTGTCGGTTGAAAATTTATTAAAAAATCTTTCTGAGAAAACAATTTTTAAAGAAAACAAATGTCTCAAGACCGATAGCTGTTATAGCTCTTTCAAGTAATGACGGTCTCTTCCTTCATAAGTATTTATTTCAAGTAGTGTATAATGTCAAAATAATGATTATATTCGTCTCTATCTCTGAGATGAGGTATTATGTTTACTTGCTTTATTTACATTATTTGGATTGTTATCCTCATCTTCATCGCCATATTCACAACGTTTCGGCCTCTATATCTCTGAGATGAGGTATTATGATTAATTTCATTATTTACATTATTTGGACTGTTATCCTCATCTTCATCGCAATATTCACAACGTTTCGGACTGTTATCCTCATCTTCATTACCATATTCACAACATTTCGGCCTCTATATCTCTGAGATGAGGGATTATGATTACTTGCATTATTCACATTACTCGGACTGTCATCCTCATCTTCATTACCATATTCACAACATTTCTGCTTCTCTATCTCTGAGATGAGGTATTATGATTACTTGCATTATTTACATTATTCGGACTGTTATCCTCATCTTCATTGCCATATTCTCAACGTTTCGACAGTTGTACACACCGGCCTTCTTAAGTTAATTGGAATTTCGTCCACCGGGGCAGATTGATTATATGTCATTATTTTATCTTCGAGTTACGTGTGATATCCATTTTAGTTGTTTATCCTGATGCAAGTCTTCAAGTGATGTGATGTCTGAGATTTGCCACAGTTCTTTGTTTGTGAGTCTGTAGCGCCAGCCGAGAAGGTTTGAGAAGTGTGTTCTTCCACAAGACTCGTGGGCCCCAATCGATGAAAGCCATTTTTCACCATCGATCTAAGAAACGTTGTCGTACACAGCTGACAGTTTAAATATTTCTGAACGGTTTTGACGCCCTGCATAACATCTACATGAAAATCTCGTTGTGACAAGGTTATTTAAGAACATGACTCGAGTTTTCAGGTTAATCTTTCAGTTCTGTAGAAATTGGCGGTGTTGTGTGAAACTACTCCTAATTTGTTATAAATGATCCATACGCCGTGATATTTGGAGTGTTTAATATTTACTAATTGCACATGCTGAATTTTTAAGATGAATTCAATGTAGATACCGCCATTGCTCTCATTCCAATATTTTATTTTGTCCAATTTCCGCTTCCGTTTAACACATTGACTGCCAAGAAGATAATTTGTGCTTAGCAGATTTAGCATGACACCAATTACATGCTTTCTTTTCCTGACTAGGTGTTACCTAGGACTTTGCATTCTCTGAAACATTTTAATCTGCGCGCGCCAACAACGTGCTTATTCACGGTGATACTTTTAATGCCAAAGCAATGTCAAGAATCAGCTCATAAAAAATTTTATTGCCTGAGTTGGCTACTATAAAGTTAACGATTGCCACCATATTTCAAAACTGACCTGTGACAGGCAACGTGTTAAATATGTCCATTTTCATAGCATCAGACAGAAACCATTGTAAAACGATTCCACATAAGATCTTCGGATTGTTTACCGCAACATTTCGACCGAAAAATTCTAAGCATAATGGTGCTATAAACCGTTTTCTTGTAAGGAAATATTAGACAGTCATTGACCGAGCAAATAGCGCTACTCGAGTTACGCTTTCTTTTCACTGTTTAGTCATCAGGCTTGGATCAAAGTGTAGAATCTGTTCTCCTCATCTCTAATGCTAATGCTAATATCAACCGTTTCCTTATAAGGAAAAATACGACAGTCATTGATTGAGCAAATAGTGCTACTCGAGTTACGCTTTCTTTTCACTGTTTTGTCATTGGGCTTGGATCAAAGTGTGGAATCTGTTTTCCTCATCTCTAAAGCTAATGTTAATATCAACCGTTCCCTTATAAGGAAACATTCGACAGTCATTAACGAGTTTAACCCGCTTGACACCATTTTTCATAAGAATTACAAAAAAGAAAAACCTTTTGAGTTATTCAGATAAAAAGAGAACAGGTTGCAATCGTTTTGTGTCCGACCCAATGTCTTCCCAAATGAGCAATGGTGAGAGGAAATAAATGATTCAGGCGTTCAGTAATGCTACTAACATTCATACTCTAGCTTCCACCTGCAAAGTCCATTCGAGAGCCATCAAGAGAACGATGAATAAGTTTTAAAAGAGGAAACATTAGAGAGGAAAGCTAACAATGGGAATAGGGATCGTCATTTCAACTTAGAGCTAAAAAAAAATTTGAAATGATCTTATAAATGATCGATTATTTTGTTATTTTGGTTAATATATCTATATCAAATATATATTTATTTATGCCATATATAAATGTTTATAGTATTTACATTAAGAACATAACTACTGTCAGTTACTATACTGGGTTTATAACACAAAAATAATCCCTTCCGATCTAAAGACAATCGTATTTAACGGACTATCCCCTATCAGTCCGTTGATGAGAGGTTTGTCTGTATATTTATTTTCTACTATATTTTTCTCTTTCGCTGTATTAAATTTTCTCTTAATATTTGCTTCAGTAGTTGTATATACCGTGTGTCACAATAAATTTGTCCAAATCTTGTAACAATATGGGGTAGTTGCCCACCCCCGAAAATGTTTAATATCATAAAAACCACTAATTGAGTTTTTTTTTACAAGGTTTTTAGCTTTAGGCATTTTGAAACCATTTGTCGTCAGGATCACAGAAACCCCTGAAATATTCAGCTAGAAAGAGTAAAAAAGATCATTCATGCCTTTTAGTAATGGTAGCAATATTCTTACCTTGGCTTCCATCTTCAAAGTCTATTCAAGGACCATCAAGAGAACGGTGAATAAGTTTAAACAAGAGGGAAGAGTAGAGAGGAAAAGTGGACCAGGAGGTCACAACGGGAAGAGGGATCATTATTTCAGAGCGAAACAAAAAAGTCAATTAGAAATAATCTAACTCGATCCATAAGATCTTTAGCAGGCGAGATAGTATTTTCACCTAGGACCCGTCAAAGTGCAGTGAAAATGACTTGAAAATGTAATCGTACGAGTAATATGTGTGGTACCATGTTTTTCCAGGACAAAAACTTAGGTTAGAAAGGGTGAAGAAAATATTAAATAAATTGGGAAATGATCCTAGAATAATATATATATATATATATATATATATATATATATATATATATATATATAATATTTATTTAAAAATATGATTCCAACATTGGAATCATATTTTTAAATAAATAATTATATTTATGCTCTACTTTTGTATCGAGCACTTACTTTTAAAAAATAATAAAAAAACTAAGAAATTTGGATTATTTATCTATTTTACACACACACACACACACACACACACATATATATGTGTGTGAAAAAGTGTATATAAATATAAATAAATATATATATGTATAATTATTTATATATTATAAATCAGTTTGTCTGACGACCGCTAAAGCGTGAAACCCAGGGTCACAAACTCACATCTATCCAACCAAATATATATATATATATATATATATATATATATATATATATATATATATATATGAACTTAATTTCAATCCTTCATGAGCTTCCGATCCTTAGCTGTGATTAATTAATGAGGAATATGTAATTTTTGTTTATTATCAATTTCATCACGATATTTCTATAAGCTTGGAGAGTAATTATAAATTCTTATTGCTCTAAGTAGAGTCTACTAGTGTTATAAAAACCTCAGAGAATTCCAGTAAGATATCTTTAATCATTTCTACGGTTCAAAGCTTAATCTAACAATTGGAGAATTTTCCTTTGACGCGATTTGATTTCAAAATAATTTTTAGATCCGGGATTCTAACACCGGAGGAATACCTCAACCGAATGGGTAACTCACCCGGAGAGATAACTTACCCGGAGGGGTACCTCACCCGGAGGGGTACCTCACCCGGAGGGGATATCT